CCGTGGTCACCGGTGCATTTGACGCACCTTGGGTGAGCGAAGCAGTTATTGGCCGTGTGGCCAAAATGTTGACAGTTGTGGCACTGTGCCACAACACCTGATTTACGTGGGGGCTCGATGACTAAGTCACTGAGCCCACAGACCCTCTTAAGGTTGAAAATGGCCTTACCTTCCGGGGTAGGGTCAAGTTCCACCATGACCATGTCCATAGGGACACGGGTGCGAGGGTGCCTGAGACGACGCACGGCGTGAACCGGGTATCCCTGAGTGCGGATGTTGACCTTAGCCATATCGACATCCGACTCTTTTGGGACGCCCTTAATTACGACCCGAAGTTTACGTTCTTCGGGTAGTGAGTATGTGTGGAAACCTACCTTAGCTTCGCGCATGTACTTAGTTACGCGACGGAAGTCGTCAGAAGAATCGAGGTATACGCGGATACCCATATGCGTATTCTTGGACCGGGGGTCTCGGATGTTGTGGCGTTCAAACCACGAACAAACCTGGTGCCACTTTGCCTTATCTTGTATTATTATTGGCGGCGGTGGCTTGATTTTTCGCTCGGAGGCGAATGTCGGTTCCGACTGGGCAGACGCGGCTGCCTTTTTGGCCGGCGTCGCGGTGGGACGGTTTGCCCTTTTTTCGCGATTTGACGACGGTGAAGCCGTCGGCGTTCGCGTTGTTAGCGGGGGTCGTTTCGGCCTCCATGTCTGAGCCGCCGTCCGATTGTGAGTCGGGAACGACAGCGCGGAAGGGGGCCGAAATGGTTTGCGCGGAAGGCGCGTTGGGTTCGTTCGCGGCGGCGGAAGTCGACGCGACAGGCGTATCAATTGTCGCAGAGGGCGACTCGATGACTGGCGCAGAGGGCACCGGAGATGGCGGCGAGGCCGGCAGCCGGTGAAGCCGGACTGTCGCTAGAAAATTCGACGACGATGCGTCGTTCCCTCGCGAAATTCAAATATTTTACTCACAATTCAGGGCATTCTTGACGCAGGAATTCCTCTATGAGGGAACCCATGTCGACGCTTGAGCCTTTGGGGCTTGCGCCCCGCCGGCGTGTGGTTTTCTAAATAGGCCTCCCCACCTTGCGGCAGGGAGGTGTGTGCCTAAAATTAACCTTTAGTCGCCTGCGCTTTAGGTGCGCTAGGGTGAGTACCTAGCGGTCGCCTAATGCAACAAGCACACAGGTAAAAATTACAATGCCGCCTCTGAGACGAGAAATGTGTGTAGAATTCTACTTACGGACAGGAACCTGCCTACGAGCACAACACTACACTAACACTATCCGCTCAGAAGTCGGGCAAAGTTTCTTCTTTCTTCAATAATGTTTTTTCTTTCTTCTATAATGTTTCTTCTTTCTTCTTGCTTGAGACTTCCCTAACCGTAGACCGCGAAACACGACAACGATGAGGCAAGCAGTGCACACCAAGAGATAAAAGAAATGTTATTAGCAACAACGGTTGCAAGATGGCTTCCGGGTCGGTTGGCATGGGCCCTCCGGCTCAGATTAACGTCCGTTCCGTGTGGAAGCACGAAGCGGAATCTAAAAGACGATCCCCTTCATTGGTCTATGAAACTTTGTATGTAAGAGAGAACATGACAGTAGTGGTAGGAGTAAGAACGATACTTATTATTAAATAATTTAAAAATACTTCATTTCCGTTGGGATTATCGCGCGATAAAAGTCAACCGGTTCTACAGCCTGGGCGCAGTGAAAAATTTGCAACAGTTTTATCTATGTATATATTTAGGTGATGTACTTAATTTACTGTTGTATTTAAAAAACGCAAGCTGCCTGGTCTAGTCTGGGAACTTGTAAAAGGAGTTCCAAAGAGAGGCGTTTAAATAGATATTCAGAGTCTATGAAAGCTTAGAACTAAATCCCGTTAAATTAGGCGAACCAATCGCGAAAGTTCAACGCGTTTGAAATGAAGCGAATTGCGAGTTTCTCGTTCTTGTATATTTAAGTTTAAGTAGAAGTCTTTTTTCTTTCTTTTAGCTTTAGTTTCTCTTATACCCGAATATTGTACATAAATCATTTTAAATTTATTTTATTATCTTTTAATATTATAAATGTGAAAGAATGTTCGTTTGTCCTTCTTTCACGTAGAAGCAATGGATTGAAATGTTGTTTTTAAAGTGATGGGTTTTTGTCAGGAGAGAGACATTGGCTACTTTTTATTCAGAAAATAACGTAATTTCGTCTTTCGCATTGAAAGAAAGCATCAAATTAACATTGAATCAATCAGGGAGCTTTGAGGCTGCTTTGATTCTCCTTACAAACGATATCCTACCGAAACTCACCTAGATGTACATACATATGGAGAATGGAGATCGCGCCTTTTTTCAAAAAGAGCAACTCTCAAGAAAGAGTATCGTCAACGCCAAAAGAACATTAACAGCTATGCTAGGTCGATGTTTTTGCAAAAACATTGTTATAAGTTTGAAATCTTCCGCCATAATACTTCGAATGTATCAAGAAAAGAGTGGATACGCAACGTTTAGGGTACAGTCGTGTTGCACAATTTAGAATTTTTTTTTTTATTTACGTCTGCTGAGTTGGTTTTCATTGAGGGGAAATCTGCCTTAGTCACCACGCTTGGCAGGCGGGTGGGCTGGCCATGTCTCCAGACGTATTGATGGTCGCTGGAGCCGACACGTGTTAGAGTGGACACCATGGTTAGGAAAACGAAGTGTGGGACGGCCTGCAGCACGATGGACTGACGACTTAAGAAAGGTGGCGGGCAGCGGATGGATGCGGGCTGCCCAGGACCGGGATAGTTGGCGCACTTTGGGGGAGGCTTACGTTCAGCAGTGGACGGCAATAGGCTGATATTGAACGTCTGCTGCTGTTCGGAGTGCGACAAATTTCAGGTATCAAAACATTGATAATGGCCAGGAAGTATGTGAAGCTCTGCGTCTGTTATATAATAACAATGACTGGTATGAAACTATGCAGGTACCAGTCAAATCAAGTCTACCAGTTATACAAAAAGGTATTAACAGACGAAATTCGAGCAGCATCAACTCTTTGGCGATGCATATCCAAATTTTCCTTGACAACAAATATGAGAGTGTATTTGTACAACGTTGCTTTAATATTTGCTGGTACACTGTTAAAAATGTAGATAGCTTAAAAACAGAGTAACCGATATATTAAGAGAGATAGTGAGAAAAAAGAGTATTTATGAAAAGACACAGTCATGGACTAAGCACAGAGCACCTCATACCGTCGAGTTCCTCAACTCTCTATTGTCAGTTGTGCCCTCGCATAAGCTATAGTTGAAACTAGGTGTCCCCGACATGCTTATGCGAAACTTAGACGCCCTTCGCTTATGTAACGGGACAAGGCTTCGTGCCACATAACTTGGGCGAAACATTATTAATGTCACAACTCTCACAAGTGTATGAAACCGGAGCGTACCATGCAAGTAAAAGGCTTTGCGTACCCTGCCATCGCATACAAACAAAACACCTAAAGCTACGGGGTACGAGTTAAGTTAAAGTTATGGTTTACAAATGTTAAAGATAATTTTACTTTATCTCTTGACTTTCCGTGTTTATTGCGTTTAAAGTGTAATCATTGGTAATTTTTTTTAGTGCATACCCTGTGTGAAATCTCTGTCCACGCCAATGCTAGGAAAGGGCGATTATGTACTAATCCCATGGATTCCTATATGACATTGCATTTTGAAAGGTTACAGTTCCTTATTAATCTTAGTTTTGCAATGACAATAAAGAAAGTGTAAGGGAAAACATTATAGTTCTTCTTTAATGGACAGTACCATTAAAGAACAACTATAATGTTTGCCCTATGTAGCATTTTTGAGGAGCAGAAAATTTGTACATTTTGACAAATTATTAAAAACATATAACGTATGAGATAAAGAATTTTATATGGTATGAGATGCTCTGTTCTGTGTCCATCACTGGGTCTATTGAAAAATACATTGTTATATCCAGCGCTACCTCACTCAAGGAGTACTTTCATCCCACACTAACAATTTTCACTGTAGCAGCATTATAACCCCTAAATTATTATATAGCGTTGTACTGCAGCAACGATATAACCTTTTTAATTGGAATAGAAATCGATTGGTATAATAGGTATAAATCATTAATTACCAGAGTGTAATGAGATAAATGCTTTTTGTATTTCCGATTTATGTTCAGAACGGTGTATGTTGCGTCCGCAGATTTTTGGTTTCCCCTTACATGATAGACATGTTCAGAGATGCCTTTATCAAGCTCACGAATTGTAGAAAAAAAATATGCGTGTGCTTATGTAGGCACGTAAGAATTTATACTTCTTTAACGTAACAAAACACAAAGAATTATAAGTATGATTCTCGATGCCAGTACTGTTTTTTTTTTGTTGTAAAAAAGATATTAATCATTTAAGCAATTGATGATCGCTTTGTATGATTTTCTTTATCAAGTCGGTGTCGCGCGCATAATGAAAATTTTATGAGAATGATAGTAATTTTATAAGATTTGTGAGAAAAACTTGATTAGTGTCTATTGATCGAAGAAGTTGGTTTTTTTAAAGCACTGTCGATGTTATGTTCATTGGGACAGTCTTTCCGCCTAGGTTCGTTATCTGGGCGTGTAAACTGTAAATGACCTTTTTCGTTTCCACGTAATTCTTACGTGCTCAGGGTTTCTCGACGTAAGGATACATACACCTTCTCACGTTTTGGGATATAACAAGGTTAGGGAAACGTGGATAGTATTTGTAAAACTGTCTCTACCTATATTATTTTGTATTTCTTTTTAATAATTACGTATTGTGTTTAAAGAAAGAATAGATATTTATTGCACTTGGAACCGTGTGCCGAACTTGAGCAAATAAACAATTTTTAACTACGTTGTAAGTAAATGCGAATTTATGTCATGATAGATGTTAAGACATGAGACTCGATGGAAATAAAAATATAACTAAACTATATTATATACGTTTGAAGAACTTTATTTTTATTTTTAATATTTTAGGACATCACATGAAAGTGGCAGCAGGTAGTCGAAGTAACAGCTAGTTTTTACTTTTTAAATTTTCAATCAATATGTGAAAGAAAAATCTTTAACATAAACGAAAAAAAAACGAAACGCTGAATAATGAAATTTTTTTCGCTTTATCATGTTTTTCTGAAACGTGTCCGTGTTCATATTAAAGTTACTTGTAAAATATTTCTGATTTTAATTAAAAGGGAAACAGAATGCAATGAAAAACTGCATCGAATTTCCAGGTTCAAAACTATTTCGGCACCGATAAAACTGTTAAAACAAATACCATTTTTTTTACTTCAACCGTTACAGCGTTGCCCATCGTTTCGTGAAACTATTTTAATTGGTGGCTTTGAAACTTTCATAGAAAGGCAAACATACAAGTTATTCCTCGAAGTAGTTTATTTTTATTTACCACAACAGTTGGTTATTTCATTCACTAGTTTATTTTTATTTGGGAAAACGAAATACTTCAACTTATTTTGAGAATTTAAAAGATATATTGCTTTGGTCCATATCTATTAACTCCTGGACAACATGTTGCTTCTATTATAACATGCCGTATCTTATCTTACAAAGTATCTGAACCGCACGAGTTTTACGTTGCATTACTTTTTAGGATCACTTTTAATAAAAATTATGTTCTTATTAACACCAAAACTACTTTAATGGGGCAGATTTATTTAATAAAAATAACGTTAGGTCTTTATTTAATTTCCAAATCTTTTTACGGCAAACCAGCGATAGTTCTTATACGTGAGTCGTCTCGAATTTCACCATATCTGTTCCGCCTGTCATTGGTTTTGTTAGCTTAACGCCTAGAAAGTAGCTAGTGTTTATACTGCATCCAAAATGCCCTGCTCAGCCTGAAAAATATAGATCAATATCCTCTTCATTACCTATATGCTCTACAAATTATGAACAACATATTGAACAATCGCTTTTCTAAAACACCTAAAACAAATGGTTTTCTCAATGCCATTTCGAAAGCGGTCTTTTTTTTATTTAAACCAGTAATAAAGTACAATAATATAAATTATTCTCTGCCAAACTGTGATGCAGTTTGACGGCAGTTCTCGTGAATAGTTACATCGATGTACTTCAACCTTACTAATATGACACCTATGTATATATATATATATATATATATATATGTCTATGTATAATATGTATGTATCATCTAAATACAATTTCTTAATTATAAGTACCTATAATATATAAGTTTATCAATTTATAGTATGTTAGAATAAAATAAAATAAATAGGTATTAATTTACTTGGTTGTGTGTGTGTGTCTGTTTATGTTTGTGCGTGTATGTAAAGTTCGGGAAACTACGGTAAATCTTCTCGCCAAATATACCTCAATGTTTGAAGACTAAAGTCTTCAATCAATGTGTGTTGCCAGTGATGACTCACGGAACCGAGACGTGGTCTTTCACTGCTGGCCGTATGAGGAAGCTCAAAGTCGCTCAGCGAGCTATGGAGCGGACTATGCTCGGTATTTCTCTGCGTGATAGAGTTCGAAACGAAGACATCCGCAGTAGAACCAAGGTAACCGGCATAGTCTGTGCTATGCCGGTTAGCAAGCTGAAGTGGCGATGGGCCGGCCATGTAGCTCGTAGAACCGATAACCGTTGGGGAAGAAAGGTTCTCGAGTGGCAGCCTCGTACTAGCCATTGCAGTGTGGGACAACCCCCCACTAGATGGAGTGACGACCTGTGCAGGTGTGCGGGAGGTCGATGGATGCAAGTTGGTCAGGATCGTACTTCGTGGCAGTCTATGGGGGAGGCCTATGTTCAGCAGTGGACTCAAACAGGCTGAAATGATGATGATGACTCCAAATTTTCCTCAAGTCCCCTTTACAATTTAATAATCCACGTTTTCTTTTTTTATTTCTAGCACGATTTATTAGTTTATTTACATAATTTCTAAGCACTTTTTACTTATCGTTTTTGTGTGAGGGACTATCTCGTGTCCGAGTTCGTGTCATTCAAAGGATGTTCTTACTATCAAATTAGCCCAATTTTGATCACTGATATTACACCGTCACGTGGAGGTTCGGTTGCGGACAGTTGTAAATAACTACCGACCGAGTATTTGGCAAAATAGGCAATTGTAGAACATTTGAATCTAACATTGCATATTCTCTAATTTGGGCGATGCCGAACGGTTCTACATCGGCTGATCATCTCTAGTTTATGAATTTTATTCAACTCACTTGTTTTTTGATATTCCTTTCAAATTCAATCTCATTGATAATCTTTTAATTTCCATTATTTAAAGGAATTTTTTATTGTTTCAACAGAACCAAAACCAGCCGAATATGCGGAGCTTGCTAGCCGGCCAATATCCGAGCGATCGGCGGCCGACACGGAGGCGGCGCACGAACTATTGTCGCTGGCCCACAGCGTACCGCCTCTGCCACCTGCTGCCGTCTACACGGTCCTGCATGCGCCAGAAACGCCCATCGTGCCGCTCTACACGTACACCATCCAGCCAACCAACATCTTTATAATCGCTGAGGAGCCTCCAAAGCCAATTATTCACACTTTCCAGGCAGTTGCACCGTTACAACCTGTCGAATACGCTGCCGTCGAAGGGCCAATTAGTTATGTCGCTTACCAACCCAGCGAACCTATACTGCATCAAGGTCCTGAGCCAGTACCGCCACCTAAACCGGTTCCAGCCCCTCAATCGCAGCCGGAACAGCCACCGGAACCAGAACCGGAAGTAGAGCCTGATCTTGAACCCGAAACGGACATCGAGGTTGAAACAACGCCACTGAACCCCACAAAAGCAAAGGCAGTGAAATTTGACTGCAATGAATGCGGCAAGTGCTACGCGACGTCGTCCAACCTGTCGCGACACAAGCAAACGCACCGCAGCCTGGACTCGGGCTCAGCGAAACGATGCGGCGAGTGCGGCAAGGCTTACGTGTCGATGCCGGCGTTGGCTATGCACGTGCTCACGCATCGCATGGGGCACGTGTGCGGCGTGTGCGGCAAGCAGTTTTCACGGCCATGGCTACTGCGCGGTCACCTGCGCTCCCACACCGGCGAGAAGCCGTACAACTGCGGTGCTTGTGGCAAGGCGTTCGCGGACCGCTCCAACCTCCGCGCCCACCTGCAGACACACTCGGCCGACAAGAAATACGAGTGTGTCCGCTGCCACAAGACATTCGCGCTCAAAAGCTACCTCAACAAACACCAAGAGTCGGCGTGCGTTCGCTCCGAAGACGAGTGAAGCTCACGTCGACTAAACGTTGCAACGAACGATTTCTCTATGAACTTCTTTACACCTTTATATTTGAAGAAGATATTTTATACTTAGCTGCTAGCAAATTTGACAGCGTGGAAATTAATAAGCAATAATAATGTACCTAATATCGTTATGGCTCTTACCATAATTAACAAAAACAAAAAAAACAAACCAAAAAAAAAAAGATATATATATATATATATATATTAGTAATTATATGAAGTACATACATAAATATTTTTTCAATGGTTAGGTCCGGCTTCGACGGAAAGAATTGTGTCAATTTATGGCAAGGGCCTGCAATGTTGCAATGTAGCGTAATGTTTACGTAGTTTTATGATATGTTTATTTAAGTAACATAGCGTCACGCGTGCGTGATTGTGCTATGGTTTAGATTGTAGTTACAGTGATACGTAGATACTTAAGGAAACCGTCGAGCTGTGGAACAAGAAAGCAATAAAGTAATGAGTGTAGAGGGCCTTTATAGACGCATGGATAGCGTGCGTAGCGAGTGGCCTACGGAGCGCCGCGGGGGGGACCAAGCTTGCGGCCGCCCGGATCGCTCTGCGCGCACACACGCTCTTTTTAAGCTGCTATTCCACTCATTTCGTATGTTTTTACACCGCTTGTCTCGTACGTTACTGCTGCGATTTTTATTAGAGATTAGCTGTAAAATCTAATATAAGTTCGTGACCAAATAAATGTGTTTAAATATACATACTTAAGAGGCAATTTAAATCTTATAAAGTTTAATTAGATTTCAATTTTATTTAAATGGTCATTGTAAATTACTTGATAATTCAATGATTATTTATTTATTTCGATTAAAGTGCACAAATTTTAGAAGATAAAACGAAAAGGCAAAAACACATTATATGATTTATATAAATTTGATAAATATTGATTTGGTTCCGTTGTGGTAAGTGATATTCAACTTAAGGAATTTGGACAAGTGTCAACTGAAATTCTCTATAATCCAAGTCCATTTTTATTTACCTTTATAAGCATATCTCTCTGCTTCTTTCATAATTTTGATTTATGGAAACTGGACATTTTTAGTATCACAGTTTCATTGGCCAGTGTTAAAGTATTTCTCCTCACTTGTAATGTTTGTAATTGATTGTAATTCGAATAAACAGGTTAACGATTTATGTTAATTAATAGAGTTTTTATGATTATAAAAAAAGATATGAAATTATTTAACGTAAAACAGAATGTAATATCTTATCTGGCTTATTTATGTATGGTGACCATGAGAAATATTTATGTTATAAATATAAATAGTCGTGATTATATTATATAATTAGGAAATTACAGTCACATTGTCGTTAAATAGTGTCCTAATATAGACGTAATGTTTGTGCCATATGACATAATCCAGTCAATATCGATATTAAGTCAAACTTTTTGAGAATGTACACGGAAATATATACAGTCCTTTCTTTTATCACTAAGAATTCGACTTATTGTAACGTTAAATACTTGCATATAAATGCAAGTAAACCTTTCCTCACGATGTTTTCCGTCACCGCTGAGCAGTTGATAATTCACCACTTAAGATTAAAAATTTCCTTGGTGCCGGCATCTAACCTATTTCAATAAGCAAACTGATGCTCATTGAAATAAAGGCGATCGCCCGGACACTGAGTTATCACGGCTCTTTTGCTCAACATTACTATAATTCATACAGAATAGACATGTTTATTTACTTATAAAATGGAATTAATTACGATGTATTTCGCAATCCACACAAAATGTGCATCGTGGCTTTCGAAAATAGCTCAACGCTATTGTGAATATTCATATCAGAACTGGTTTTTGTATACGAGAAAGCTGCGCTAGTTAAAACTTATTTTATTTGCGTATATATTTCATGAACACGAGCATGCGTAATTTGCTGTATTAATTACTAATAACAAAATCAAATTTCAGTGGCCTATATCTACTGTATTAATTATTGCACCCTTAAGCATTGAGCTCAATCAATTAATAATTGAGCTTTCACGCGTTAAATCGTTAATTGTGGAAGTTTAACGGTATTAATATGTAGCATAGAGTAAGTGCATAAAATTAAAAAAAAACAAATCTTAGCGTGTTTAGAGTTTTGCATAGATATATTAGTACGTATAGTGTAGAGCACTCAAACCCATCATTTAGATCTCATGTCAATTTTAATAATTTTCGTCAATTGTTGATTAGAATATTCTATAATTCTCTATAAAATTCATTAATAGGTTAAATTGAAGAATTTTATTTAATAGTAACTCTCTCTCTCTCACAGTAATCATCTAAACTACCTGCTTATGCTGCATAGTATCAATACGTATTGTCAATTTTCGATGCAGTTACGTGTTTAAGAAAACTTCGATGGTAAATCTCAATTAGGAAAGTAATACCTTTATGATAGGTGTACTTCATGAAGATAGTTTCGTGATGAAACTGTTCATAACAAGACTGATCGATGGAGAGTATTGCGATTCGTGTCATTTTAAAATGTTGTATATTATTAAGGCTCTGAGTAAATTCGTCGTGTCATGTCTTCCAAATTTTAAAAGATGGATGTAGTGCAAGTTTTGCTGCCCCGCAAGTCGTCATGGTTATAAGGAAATAATCTTACTTTTAAAAGTTTTGATTAAGGCACATGATCCTGTAAAGTTAATTTAAAAAAGGAAATGCTGGTCTAAGTTTCTAAGTTCGAAGTCTTTCAGTACTCTTTAAGTAATTCTAAAGGAACTAGAAGATCAAAAGTTGTCTCTACGCGTGATTAGTTTGAATTAAAATTCGCCTTATGGTCTACAGATAATTTTCTGCATATTTACTTTACTTGACGGACAGGAAAAACTTATATTGATTGGAAAGTACATTGTCTATTCTAATGAAATTCAGTTTAATTACTCTTACTTCAAACTATTTTTTTATGCAAGTTAAAGTCAAGTAATAGATTGAAAAAAAAAAAAACAATATTTTGATGATTATTTCATAAATGGATAGCAAAACGCGGTGGCGTCTAATAATTTAAAGCATGAATATCAGGGAAGAGGCAACAGGCGGGTGGCGGCGCGCGCCAAAATTATGCCGCTAAGCCATTGAAATTGTTTGAAAAGTCTTGCCAACATAGCTGGTTGTTGTAAAACAAAATGCTCTATACGAGAAAATAAACTTAACGGGGCTTTGACGGATATGATATTGCAGGCGACGACGCCTGGATCGTTTTTCCAAGCAACAAACTATTTATAAAGATGAACTAGAACCCATGCATGTTTTATTTGAGTGATGATAAAAAAACAACAGTGTGTAAATAGAGGCTGGCGTCATGCAAAACGATATTATAGCGCTCCGTTATTGGCTAGTGACGGTTTTTTGCAAAACTATTCGTGGATAGACGTGAAAATGCTAGTTATGTGCCAGCCCATTGCCTATTTGTTCACGCGATACATATTTTCAGGATTCGGTTCGCTACTTTTGAACGGAGTTGCCAATTATCTAACATACGTTTTAATAAAATGTGTTATAAAACTTTAAGCAGATAAGGGCTGTTCCATGGTTGGGTGCTTCCGTAAAGATGCAATAATGCCCATATTTCTGTTATATAGGCCCAACACGAGCGGTGGCTGCGTTTTTTCGACGATAATTACGACTAATTTGCGTGTTCCACTACGATTGTAGCAAACATTTGAAAGTTAGGCAATAGCTATAGTTATAGAATAGAAGTTTGAGTAAAATAAATAATATTATTTTAAAAATATTTTTGCTTCATACTCGTTTACATTATTGTTATTGTAAGTAGATACTCTTAGATAAGGTAAATATACATTTAATCTAGTCATATTTATAACGTGAAATTGTTTATCATAATGTATCATGATTGAAACAAAAATATATGCTATTACCTTGTACCTCACTCTTATAATATGCAAATCATTAGCCATTTGATTGGTGTAACTTTAAGTAATTCTCCACGTGAAGCAATATATTATGTACAACTACTTTTAGGCCTTCAAAAAATATTTATATACTCTTAAAACTTATCAAATTTCTATCTTTCTACTATATCAAAATGTTACCTTAAGAATGTTGAACTTTGTATTTATGTTTTATAATATAATGTGGACAGATTTCGATTTTTTATCTAAATTGGTTAATATATAATGTAAGTTTTATATATATTGAATTTCTCAAAACACTATGCGAAGTATTTCATACGTCATGATAAATATTTTAGTCACGTTATGTTGGCATTTAGTGCTCGAAAAACAAAAGCGGCAGGTATCACAACGCGTTTGCGATTTTCACGTTAAAACTTTTATTCCACAGCGTGTATTTTCAATGTGCAGCTTTATAAAAGCCCGTGAGCATGCGTTAGGCATTTACAGCGGATCACAAATGTGAGGAATCTCTTTACACTGGGCCCGAATAGCGTGATTTTCGGATTATACAGAAATAAAAGACCTATCTTTACAAAATTTTTGCGAGTCCGTTCACTTTTAATAATTTTAAATGGAGTTTTATTTTGAAAAGTTAACGGCCACTCATTGAAGATAAAGATATTATTCATCTTTTGTTTTTAAAGATATTATTCACCTTTTGTTTTAAGTGATAACCACCACCCATGGACATTTGCAACACCCGTTGAATTGCGTTGAAATGCGTTACCATATATTATTAAAGTGGGGCCTCGTTACCTCACTAACCAGACAAAACGCAGAAGTATAAGACTTCCACTTCAAGCCAGTTTTCTGTGAGGTCCCACGACCTTTAGTACCACTAGTTCCCTGGATTTTCCTGCCCATTTGTGCAACAGCGAAAATTGTGGCGTAGTTCCACCGTTTGAATAAGTGTACTCAAAAAATGTTTTCTACTTATTTTATCTAAAAATCTACATTCATCATTATAGTCATTTGGTTAGTATCTCCAACAAAATACTTTAAAAATAACAAGCAAATCTTAAGAAATAAGATGTAATAATTGATTTTGTGCACATGGATAATTTACAATTCTTTATCATATATGTGCACAAAAGGTTAACTTAATAATATGAATCTTCATATTATTTCATTTGAAAAAAAAAAAAAAGATTCTTTCATTCAAATTGACACATCTCATAACTATTAGAAAAAACTTATTAAATATTCTAATTATATACATTATGTTACAATACACGGCTAAGCATATGTGAAAGATTTTCTTACCTTTAGGTAATTTATGAGAAACTAACACAATCCGTATACTTGCCTAAACAAAACCTCTTGCGAACCATGAAGAAGCTGAACAGTGAGTTAACATATAATGTCAGCGCTTCTAAAATGGATTAGAATAAAAACTTGTATTTATGTGTGTATATTTTTATAAAGCATCATTGAACAACGAACCTTTTCGAATTATTAATAATGGAAATGTTGGATATTATTTTTGTATTTTAAATAAATCACATAAACTAACAATTGACAATGCTTGTAACAACGATCGTATTTTGGAATAAATCTAATGTTTATTTACTTTATATAAAATAAGAAATTTAGCGAATAAAATATTTATTGCTTCAAAGACAAACAGCACATAAATAATCATTGGGTATGTAATTGAATGTTTAATAAATATGTTTACGTATTCTATAATATAATGCATTATAAAACAAATATTAGCTTTTTTCCCAAATAAGTCAAAGGTCAAAGGTACTCGTATTATTCATGTCAAACATATTATTAAATAAACTATTTTTTTAAAAATATGTCACATTTTCTTGGGTACCACGATACAAGAAATGTTGCTGTCGTATCTGAAATTATTTGTATTCTTTTAAAGATCAAAGATGTGAGACATTATCATAATGTTCGTAGATGTTAGGATACACATCGCTACAGACGTTTGTATGATAAATAATAGAGCATCAGTTTTCAGACAATATTCGACAGTTAGAAAGATTTTGTTTAGTACTTACTCGTATAAGTACATCGAAAGAAATGCAATTATTTCAGAATTTCACCCATATTTCTTTGCCTCCTTTATAGAAAAATATGTGTAAAGGTCCTTGATATTTAATGTTAATGATCCATTCTTTTTCGATTGTACTCTGTACCTGTGTTCATGGATTTGGCAAGTTAGTTGACTTATTTTAACATTATCCTATAGCCCCCTATAACATGTATGTAGTAAATTTTAATTATTGTTTACTAGCAATGTTTGCAATGCTTAAAACTTTTTAATATTTGAACGCAATGATGTTCGTTATGTAAGTTTCTGGCACTAAAAATAATTGAAGATCGTATTTTTATTATTCCGACTAAGGTTTTAAGGAGCATTTTCAAATTGGGTGTTATGAAAATAAATAAAAATTAAAGCTAGCCTTCCGTTGTATCGTAAATTATGGAGAGCGAGTTTCCCCAGAAGTATTTCATATGAAGAGCCTGTTGCGTGCGCACAGCAAAGAAAGTTGCGGAATAAGCAGCGGCGTACTGTATGGCGCAGCGTAAGAGCTTCATGGAGCGCGGTCGAGTCGGCGCGTAGGCCCTTAGTCCGTTCCCACTGGTTGAACGCGGGGTCGGAGCTCCCAAAAGTATCGCTCGAAGTTGGCGCGCCAAAGTTTGTGCGGCATGGTGTCGGCCGCCCGCCGCCCACATCGATCGAAGGTGCGGCGCGCGCACCACCCCCTGCCGCATATATACCGAGGGAACCTCGTGCACCCCTCACAACGCAGGAGGACGCGCGCGAAAGCCCGTAACGCCGCTCGCCCGGGGCGCCGCTCTTTCTCTTTTCTCTCTTTTTCCCTCTGTTCGTCTGTCTTTCGCTGATGCGGCCGCGCTGAGGCCGATGCGGGCGCCGCCATGCCGCGCTGCCTCATGGCCAAGAAGTGGAAGGTGGCTCCGGCAGCGGAGCTGGCCGACGACTCGGACGAGGAGATCGACGTGGTCGGCGAGGGGCGCGGCCGGAGCCCAGCGCCCGCTGCCACCGCACCGGGGCCTTCGCCCCGTGACCCCGAGCCCACGCTCCTATACAACGGTACGCGCTTGATTACTTTTTCCGCTGCACCACGACACCACATCCATCCAGCACCATCTTCCAGCCGGCAAGCAGGGTCGAAGTGGAGTTGCCATAACAACGAGTGAAATTTCAAAGGCCGACGTTAAATTCACCGGGAAATAACTGGTCAGGAAACAGAGAAGTATTTGACTCAACAGATGCCCCATTAGAATGTAATTAACCACCTGAATTCAAATGATCCGGCCGCCAAAGAAGAATCATCATAGACCATTAGCGCACCATTGCATTGCTCCCGCAGAACGTCCCACATTTCAGATTGCGACGAAAACCACAATTACGAGTGCTTTGCTGAATGCGACTGCCTAATTTTTTGCGAATTCATTATAAGCAATTTAGTTACTGCTACGCGCATGCGAGTTCACGATTTGTAATTTACGGCGTCATCTAAATTTTTTGGTATATTTTTTTCTATTTAATACCTAAATAATATTGACCAACTATCAAGTAGGATTTATTTGAGCTGCGTAATTTTTTTTGATGATCTTAGAATTTTAAACTCTCTTTTTTTAGGGTCAAAGTATTGACCAAATGCGAAAAATCACTGACCAATTAGGACCACTTTTTTACAGTTCAAATTTCAAATAGACAGAACGACGAAACGAGTGCAATTTTGAAAAAATAAAGTAATTACTACACGGAATAAAAGCAAATAAATACAAGAACTCCTTTTTATAAACAGACCATACAATTCCTTTAACAGAAGACGAGACTATTCCTTTGTAGGGTAAATAGTATAACATAGGTACCGCGTTGTTTCGCATTGCTCTATGCTCCATTATTCGCATTTGCAACGAGCTTCGTCGAAGGCAGCTCTTGTCAACGCCCGTAACAAAAGGGCCTCCGTTTTCAACTTTTCTTATTTATTCAATGTGCGTTCTCATTATAAACGAGTCTATAGTCTTTCTTATTTTCATGTCGTGGATATTATGTTACTCGGTTGATATAAAGTTAGTATCATTGTGTTTTTTGGAGTTTTGAAATTTGACTTCCACATGGCAAATATCAATTTATTCATAAATGTTTATATTATTCTGAATAAATCAATATTTCATCAGCATAACCAAGTCAATGTGTAAGAAAATTTTAATAATTATTCCGTTACTATTTGACGGGCGTTATCCTCTCGACGGTGTTACTAACCTGTTGAGCATTTTGTATTCTTTGTCGGAGTAACGCATATTTTAAAATATTCTTGAAGAATTAATAAACGGCAAGAAAAACAAACGGTATTGATAGGGGACAACAAGATTAAAAATTACCTAGATCAAATTAAAATAACTTGTTTCGAGCCTTGTTGTAACAAATATATCGTAAATATATTTTAAAAAAAAGCATGTGTGTACTTATGTACGCACGTAAGAAGTTACATCTTTAGTGTAACAAAAGAAAAATTACTATAAATTGTATCCCTTATGCCAATACCTTTTTTGCAAAAAAAAAATTAAATGCAATTGATAACACAATGTTCAAAGCTTAATTACAACTTTGAATTGTACGTAAATGTCAAAAAATTGTTATTGGTTGCCATGTTAACAGCATGAAGTTGGTCGAAGTTGTTCGTTTTGCATCCAATTCATCATGCCACTTTTTTGCTGTGGTGTGCGCGTATTGTAAAATTTACTGTCATATTGGACATAGCTCTCCCCAAGGGCACGCCACAGTGCACGATCTTCCGCTTTCCTCATCCAGCCACTATCAGCGACTTTTCTCAGGTTATCGGTCCACCTGGCAGGAGGACGTCCGACACTACGTTTTCCGAGACGTGGTCTTCATTCGAGAAACAGCATGCTCCAAAGCTCATCGGCCCTACGACAGATGTGGCGAGTCCACTGCCACTTCAGCTTGCTACACTTATGGACTATATCTACGAGTTTGGTCCACTGCCCGATGATTTCGTTTCGGATTTTAACCCTTAGAGAAGTACTGAGCATAGATAGCTCGCTGAGTGACATGTAATCGGTGGACCAACTTCACCGTCATGTTCCACGTCTCAGCCCCGTATGTCATGACTGGCTGGACGCACTGGTTGTAAACCCTGCTCTTTAGGCATTGTGGCGGCGAGAAGATATGACGCAGATTTCCAAACGCTGCCCAGCCCAGCTGCACTCTTCTATCGATTTCACGCTCAAAATTTGCACTACCCAACTGTAATGTCTGCCCAAGGTAAAAATACTCTTGAAGATCTTAGAACGCTTCGCCGATGATTTGAATCGCGTCTGGATTAATAAGCTCGTTGAACATGGCCTTAGTCTTGTCCAAGTTCATCCTGAGACCAACCGATGATGAGGCAGCATCCAAACTGCAGCATGATTTGCAAATCCTGCATCGATTCTGCCATTAAAATGATTTAAGCGGAGGAGGGGCTGAGATATTCGCCATGGATGTTGATGTTCAATGCGTTTCAGTCCAAGATTTTGAAGAAACAAGACTGGAAGATGCTCCAGCGGGTTTGATTACAGTTTTGGAGAGATGAATGATAAAGGTTGTCAACGCATCTGTAACCCTCGGTGTAGCAGATGTCCATGGGCGGCGGTAATCACTTACCATCAGGTGAACCGTCTGCTCGTTTGGCAATTAAAAAAACAACGATATTACCGTAAATGATCAATTAAATATTGTTTTAAACTTCACTTACCAAGTTACTATACATGTATATGAAATATTGATGAACAATAACAGCAATTACGTGAATCAGTGTCGTAAAACAATACTGGACGATACAGTAATAGTAATTAAGTTTTTACGCAGTACTGTAATTAAATTTAAATTATTGGTATATATGAATGAAGTTTGGTCTTACGAATGAAGTTATGTAGTATGATCATTTTCTGACACAAGCTTTTCACGCGTTTACGACTCATTAATATTGTAATGATTCATATCACAAAATAATAAAATACATTATTTGTTTTGAACGAAGAAAAAAATTCTTAACTATTGACGTAAATAATTTATTAAAATGCAATGGAAAAAAATAAGTACCACTCAAGTGTTCCATCTACTTTAAACTGAGAAGTTTTGCTCCCAAGTCATAAGTCGTTAACAACTTAGTCCGATCAACCACTGGTTACTGGCGCAAAGTTTTTATTGATTCCATTTAAAAACCTTGCGAAAAGAAAATTTCCTTGCATCTGGGGCATGCCGTGTGTTGAAGACATTTCAAATGTAATTTTAATGTAATTTTTTTATTAACTTGTTAAGAAAAGACATGTATGACATTTCAAGATTTTGATATTAAACTTCTTGTAAATGCAGTTGAAAACGACAATAATAAATTCTAGAAAAATTGTTATGAGTGTGCTGAGTATAATTATATTCGGCCTAATGCGATACGAAGTTGAGGCGACAATTTTCCCTGCTACGGAGTCTTAGCACCACGATGAAGTGTCATGTTAGAATATATTTAAATATCACGGCCTTATGTCATATTCATACAATGACGCAAGGAATAATTCAAAAATGGGAATACATTACCACTACACGGAAAGACTACGGTACTCTGACCCAAAAACATCCATAGCAACTACAATGATCGCATATATACATATACGTAGTCGGTGCTATCTCGCTCGGAAGTAGAGATTTGAAATAAAAAATAGCTCATGTTTTTTTTTCTTTATCCACCAATGTTCATTGCCGAATTAATCTATAGAAATAGGTTTCAATGAAAAAGTGATTTAATTTAATCCTCCGTGGAAAAAATTATGTCTATTAACATGTTAATACTTAACGCAGAATACTCATTACAATTACTTTTTCACGAATCACGAAAGAAATTTATACGAATTGCGTTTATCCATGTTTAAGTTTAACATGGATACAATAAGTGTACCGCGTGATGCACTAAGTGCGATAATTTTTCATGTTCCTTTTTTTAAATAAATATATGTAAAATAAAGTTTTGTAGATAGAGATTTTGCCTCAAAGCCAGTCTGCGGACAAATATTGCCCTTTGCAATTTTTTTTCCGTATTAGCTTTAATTCCGCTACAAGATCGTGGTATAGTGGTGAGTGGTATTGGGAAATTTGTTTTGCCTCTAAGTTATTAGGAGAGTCGCCCAAGAAGCGGAGCGCCTTTTTTGCTTATTTATAAAACGGCGCACAACTGTTTACATTTTAAAATATTTAAAATTTTAAATTTTCTGGTGAGGTTGTTGATTGAGGTGAAGAAGTTAATTTTTAAATTATCAAAAATGTGATATAATTTAATCGATAAACACAGAAGAAGGCTGACGTTATATTTACTATTATCAACAAACGTATTTTTTAGAATATATTAATTATAAAAAAAGGTTTCAGCGTCCGCCTACATAAAGCTATCATCAGCTCGAGGCACACATCGTCATTTTCCTTGCCATATTTCTTTATTATGTTTTTTACCATTTCTCTTTTCTATATAAATTCCTTGTGAGTCAATAAATCGATGGAAGTTGTACAAGCTTGCACAACTTCCATCCGAAAATTTGCGTAATAAATTATCTAGATTAACAATGAGTTGATTTGATTAACTTTAAAGTCAGATTAAACACAAATAATAATTATGATGTCATAAATATGAGCGCTCGTTTAAATTGTTTACACAATTCTCTCTCAATTAGGGCCTTTTATAATATACGTTAGCAATATGTAAGTCACAATTGAACGAATCAGACGTTTTAATTGCCTCGCTATTACGTATTACGTTGGAGCCGTACGGCCGTCCGTATATAGAGGACCATCGAGCCATCAAATGAAACGGTCGAATATCACGCAGGAAGACACCCCCTGGGGGAGGGGGTGGGGTTCAGAGCGGGCGTCGTGCGTACAGCGCGTCGAAATTAAATCCTCATTTGGGCCACCAAATCCGATTACCGGACCCGGGCAAAACTGTTATACGAATTGATCGCGTTAGAGGAATTCTGTTCAACTAAAATTACCTGAAGCGCAAATATTCTACGGCATAAATCATTTGGCGTTCGAACCTGTTTCAATTGTTCAACGCACCGTGCCGTTGGAAATTAT